CGGCACACCCAAATCGACTTTCTCGTCGCCTTCCAGGAGAGGCCCGACCTGCCCCCGAACGCAGCCATATCTCGTCTTGTGCCCCACGCATCGGTCTGCGCCGAGATCGTCGTCATGCGCTCCGGCGCGCGTTACCTCGTTCTCGACATGGGCGGGCATGGGCCTTCCGAGGCGGCCAAACGAGCTGTTCGCAAGTGAGTACCCCAGTCCATGTGTTCAACGCCGTCCCGACGACGTCCCGCTAACTTGATGCGCCGCAGGTTCATCCTTCAATATGTCGCTCATCATGCACAATATCGCGGGAAACGAAGGGTCCCTCCGCTACCCACCGCCATCGGCTTCGATTGACCACGTCGCCTCCTGCCGTCTTCTTCGTATCTTGGTTTAGAGTCTAGCAACTGTATCTCTGTACCGCCCGCCGGGCCTCAATTTAATGCCGCCTCGTCCTTGCCTCCTCGTCTCCTCTTCAACGAGTTCCTGCGATGCTCCTCGCCGGACACCTCCGGCCGCCCTCGCGACCTAGCCACTGCTGGGTTGCACTCATTTCCTCGAAGCCGCGATCTCCCCGCCAGGTTATCACCATCTTTCGAAAACTGAAGGATCCGCCCTTCGGTGCGCTCCCGGCAACAACGCTTCCTTCAGAGTCGTTTCTGGTTCCAAGGGCATAAGGCGACGTTGCTCTTCGCTCAGTCGCGATGCGCCATTGACCGTCATAGTCGCCGAACTATCTCCTTTATCGTTGACCGTCAATCCCCCTTTCACGTCCTTTACGGTCATTCCTTGCCCTGAGTCAGGTGTTTGTTACCGCATTATCAGTTTGTCTTGTTCTTGCTCCTTAAGTAGGGCGGGGTAGGGCATGCATACTGTACGCTCCCCTGTGTGGACCCACTGTGGACTCGACTGTCTCTCGTCATGTCTATAGCCCCACAATTTGCATGGCAGGCTTATCACCTCAAAATGATGTGAGTGTACGGCGCTGTTGGAGAGCTGGCGGTTGCTGACGATCCTCACAGATACACTGCTCCCGCTAATCTCTATATATCTCTTGCGAAGCGGTTGTACGAGGGGAATCGGTTTGACGGCCAAGACGCTAATCGAAGACGTTGTCAAATTTACTTGGTCGAGGGTGCCAGTCAGCTGTCTACACGTCGTAGGTCCTGTGTCGCTCCACCTATTGCTCTCGTTCATCTCTCTCCATAGTATTCCTGTGTCTCCTCGACCCCGACTTCGGGAACGGCATATTCATCGCTTCTTCCGATCTTACTATGCTTGACCCTACGAAGATCCGCAAGGCGGTGAGTCCTTTATCAATGGCGTACAGCCTATGTTCTCTACGACATGCCCTTACGGTCACGGCTTCAACACCCAGGATTCCGAGACGTTGTTTCTCTCGACCCCCACCTCCCATATCTCCATCGTGTTTCCTTTCGGACGGCTTCGTGACCAGTTCGCGGCCCAAATTGCGGATTGGCTCAGTTCCAATCGCCTAGATTTTTCGACCCACCCTTCTCCGCCGGGAGAAGTAGTCTTCGGCATGGAAATTTTTTCTTTCGCCCTCCTCCTATTCCAGGCCCACGAAGCTGTCATGGTCGTTGCTGAACATGACGTCAACAAGGTCGTCTCTGGGACTGCTGAAGAGCTCGGCATAAGCTTCAATTATCTCGGTGGCGATGATACAGCGGACGGCGATGATGTGGATGCAGCGGACGACGACGACGGAGATGAAAGCGTCGCGGGCGACGCCGTTGCGGATGTCGGGGTTGCGGATCACAACGTCGCTGTTGAATTGTGAGTGGCTTCCCTGAGCATTTTGCATAGGCGTGGTCTCACGCACTGGGATGTCAGTAGCACGGATTCTTGAAGCGATGGCTCTTGCGTAGCTCATGGTGGGATCTAGAGAGGAGTTCGTGACAGTTGCCAGTACTTATTACCGTACATATGTATGGGTTGCGCGCTCAACATCGATCCGAGTCCGAACTATGTGGTGATTATGTTGCGCACGTCCACTGCAGCCTTGGCGTGATCTAGCGGCCCCGTCGGGTTACACGCGACAGACCTTCAGACGGCACTGTCGAACGGTTCGCGGTGTAGGTGTCATCGGCGAGGATACCGCCGTATGCTGTAGTACATACAGTCTCTTCACAAGCCACGCAGCGCGATAATGGCATGACATATCATAGCCAAGCCGTGGGCCGGACGCGGGGCCCACAAATAACGTAGACTCACTATTCGAGAGCAAGAATCGCTACAGAGGGCTCAGTCGTCTGCTCACAACATCATATTGAGAGACTTTTCGCGCGCCTCTATGCTCCCTTTGTCCGAGGTCTTTCGAGCTGGCTTTCGAGTCCTCCCCAATGGCTCGGCCGCCGCAGGTAGCGCTGTCACAATGTCTGTCGGCTTCAGCGCCAATAGGTGCTGCAAACGAGCAGGGAGGCTGTCAATGCCATGACGCATACCCTGGCCCAGCTGCCACTGAACTTCGCGATTCCAGCCATAGCGCCGGCCTCATGATAGACAGGTGGGTCGCATCTGCGACCTGAAATCTCCATGGGTGCGCCCCGAAACCGTACGACGCGTCATAGTCTTATGCGTGTCGTCATCTTCAACGTGTACTAGTGTACTTTTACCCTATAGTGAGCTCATTGAACTAACGGTCTGCCGCAAGCTCTAATCTGCCATCCTCGACAAAACCAGACACTTTCATAAGACTGCTGTATACAAACAAGAACCATAGGAAATCGAGTAAGAGGATGTCCTTGACACCGCAGGTACTTATGTCCCCGATGGTCACTTGAAGCCACGTATGAGTAAGTTGTAGTACAAACAGCCAACTTGGCACCGACCTTGATCAAAGAATGGATTGACCCTACAAAGGCGCGGGGTGCACGGAGAGGGTGAACTGGTGCCTCTGGACGAGCGCAGCCTGGTGAGTATGCTCGGCCCGACGAGTAGCGAGGTGGGTCTTTGCGTCCGTAAGGATTCGCACAAGCTCCAGGAAGTCGAGGGGATCGGAAAAGATGAAGGTGACCCGGGTAGCGTCGTTAGCGATGCGGCTGGTGGTAAACGACACCAACGATGCACTTTCGTCACAACTGAAATGCATGGTCTCGTCGATGAGAGTCAGCATCACCGGTATGTGCTCTCCCGGGATCCCAGCTGCATTGCAGGTCCTGCAGAGAACGATACAGTCTGGTGGAACAAGTTGCGAGTCAGAGGGCAAAGCTTCCCAAGATTGACATGGATCGCTTACAGATGCTTTTTCCAAGCTCACCCACAACAAGGCGGCCGGGTGTATTGGGGGGCTCCGAGTTGTCGGTTGGGCCAGCCAGAGGGTCTTGCTTGAACACCACAGCATCGGTTGCAAACGGAATGGAAGGACACTCGTTTGGGCTGTGTGGGCGTCAGGAAACCGCTATATATCATACGAGAGGAGATCTGTATGTACTTCGGCATAGTAGTCTCGGTGTTTGAGGTATTTGAGGGTAAAGCGGTGTGAGGGGCCCGGGCAGTAGCCTTGCGTTAGCGAATGCTAGAAGATATTATGAGCACTCGCCGACGCAGCCGACTGAGTTATATAGTAATGTTTGCTTAGAACAAAGATAGTTTGCACACCTCTTTGGCGCCATTCCATGCTATGGAACAGATAAAGAGTACAATGGTTCGTAATGGCACATGTTGAAAGCGGATTTTGGTCGTAATGTTGCCCTCGACGACTAGGACCCGGGACACAAGGCAGTCGCTACGAATGTCGGCCCCGACCTGAATATTGACACGATCAGTGACGACCACATTGTCGATGCTCAGTGCTGAACGCAGCTCGCAAGGGCGGTGATGAAACGGTTAACCAGACATGCTTTATGTTGCAGCACGATGCGGCCAGCATGACGTACCGCGTACGAGGCTCCGGGGTTGCTCGCTAGAACGCCACCGGCACGCTACCATTCGTGGTTGCGGGCGGCCGCAGACGAGTGCGCGACCTCCATTGTGTCATTTTACGGCGGTGTATGTCGCCGTCCACGCGGACAAGAACATGCCGGGATCAATGCCGCTGGGACTTCGCGCCGTCACGCATGGGGAGCTGGCGTCAAAGGGATGAGTCTTGTCCACATCGCACACGTGAGTACTTAAACTTACCTTAAAGTTGCGAAATCACGAAAGGGTTGCAGCGGTTCCGTGAGATGTAGAGAGAGATATTATGCGCTGCATTACGCACGTCAGGAACCTCCGACGGCAGTGGTGCAGCGTCAAGGACCCCCTTTCGCCGCAATGCCAGTTAGAAGCTAAAAAGTGCCCGCGAAGAGGTGAGCCATACGTGCTTCGCGCATCATGTTGCATACTTTTGAACTTACAGTCCCAATCGGCGACAGAAACGAATGTACGAGGTTTTAGTGCGTTCCGTATGAACGTAACGCGCCTTGATTATGTCGGCGCGGCCGCAGGTCGAGACTCGGATTGAATGTTCCGCGCACGGAGCATATCAGCACGAGGACAGCACACCTGGAGCGGGAAGTCGCCTGAGCTAGTAGTGAAAGCGAAAGTGGAAGAGCACCTAGCTGCGTACTGGAAAAAGAGCGCGTGAGGACGTCCCGTGTCGACGGCTGGATCTGGCATGATCGCGGAGTACCAAGGTCCGAGTATGACGAACGCGAGCGCTGAGCGCCTGAGCGGACAACTGCAATTGCGCACCCTACTACGTATACCGGCAAGAGAGACAATAGAGCAGGGGGCGAGACGAGCGAGTACGTGAATACCTGTGGAACAATATCAACGAATCTACGCAATCTGTGCGTGTGTGACTCACTGCGGCGTGCCCATCAAACACACGTATTGAGATATGGTGGAAGTGCGGCCTGCGACATCCCGGCCTACTACGATAGCCCATGCCTATTCGAGTCCATATACACTTCAGCTCTCGCCGACAAAACTCGTCGCGTTCACGGGCGTGGGACGCATGGAGAGCCCGAAGCCGTAGAACCGGGCGCAACCTTCTGAGGTGTCACGGTCTCCTAAAGCGTTTGTAGAGTGCGCGACGGCGCGCACTGCCATAACTGGGTCACTAGCGTGTGTCAACTTCAATGATACCAAGGGAGGTCAGGATTTAAGAGCAGCATGGCTATCATACCGGCCGTGAGACCGAAAATCACTAGAAAAGTTAAATGCTACGTCGGCAACTGTTGAGTATCGCTTCAGACGTACGTAATATATGTTGTAGCTTGTCGCTCTTAAAGCCGGGTGGGCAACTCTGCGGCACGTTTCAATGGAGTAGCCACCGGTTTGTCCAAGTTACTGCCCATGGCCTCGATGTGGTCCATCGACATGGGACCGGCTACGACGCAAGCACCGTGCACCAGCATATTTGCAAGAAGGTAAAACCATAGAACAGACCTAAGGAGGATGAGTAGTATTGACTGAAGAGGTATACCAGCAGTACTAGTAGATAGTCGAGGATGTGGAGTCGATTAATGTCCAAGTGCTGCAGTTTGTCTGCGCGCTTCTGTAGCGGTGGCTCGGGTCCATCTACACGGACCCCGGGGTCGTTCCGGGATCCCACCACAGAAGGTAAAGAATCGATAAGCCGTTTGTCTGACGGCGCTGGGTTCTGACAACGCTGTTGAGAGCTGCAACCTCCCGAGCTCTCTTGACCTTTGGTTGAAGGGGTGTTTGTAAGGCCCCACTTTATCGTAAACAAGGGTCCCCCAAAGGTGAGAGGCCGACACAAACCCTATCGTTTCTTTGCTAGCTGTATTCTATTCCGTACGCACCGGAGTAGCGCCGGGCAGCCCTTCCAAACAACAAATCAATCGCGTTGCACGGTTCGGACCATTCTACTAGTTCACATGCCCAAAATTTCCAAAATTTCAAGTCGCCATAAAACCGTAGCAGCGAACGATGCAAAGGCGATAGTTGACCGTCAATCAATCAAGGAGTCCACGGGCTTTGGCGCATTTTACCAACGTCTTTACGGTGAGGGCTGTATAAAAGCTAAGACGATCCGAGTTAGTTTCTCTCAGAAACTGACCCGATTCGTGACCTCGCTAACCCCATAACATTTTACCATGGCCTACGCGCAAGAGTCTACCCCAGTAGGCAGAAAAACAGAAGGCTCCCGTGGAGGAAGGCCCACAGGTGAGTAGCAGCTTTGTCCTCGGGACGCTACGGAGTTCTCATTTCATCGTGCAGGCGATCCTCCCGAGCTATCAGCTATATCATCTTCCCCAACGGGACAGTACGCACCTTCAATTGTTATAGCCAGAGCACTAACCCATGTTCTGTTAAGCCAGGATGTGCGTCCTATCAGGCCAGATTCCGAGGACGATGGGGGAATGGCTATGGTCGTGGATACCGCATGCGGTGATGCGGGAGTACCGCGGATCGGGTACGCTTTCCATTTCTGCCAAGTCAAGAGACCCCCAACGTCTGAACGAACCACTTCTAGTACGATCACGTTGAGCGCAAAGGCTCGCGGCAAGATGCGAGCCACGACGCCACGATCCTGGGAGCAACAACAGGCTCAGGCTTCCGCCAGTGGTCAGGCACATGCGATGACCTCGTTGGCGGAGTTCTCCGCCCGCAACATGGCAACTCTGACCACTCCAAAATCAGAGGCCGACAAGGCCGATGTCAACGCTTGGTTGCATGAGTGAGTCGATCGAGAAGCCCCTCAGATTTGAGGCAAGTCTCAAGGGCGTGTAACAGGGCGTTCGGCGACTCGGAGCTGCGCAACCCGCACGGCAAGCGTTTCAGACCAAGGAGCCCGTCCGATGACTCGCGCCGTATCATAAATCCTTCGTGGTCGTTGTCTCCGTCGCGCAAAAAGAGAAGAAAAAGGTCACCTTCTCTTTACGGAGCAAGCAACCACCGGATAAGTCAAGCAAGCAAGCCAAGTATGCAGTCGCATACGATCAGGCAGGTGGGGGCGTCCTCTCAAGGCGGATTCAATTATGACGCCGTAGAGCTTCCCCCGTGAGTCGTTACGTCAACTGCATAACGCCAATTATCAGCTCACGGCCGTCGTCTAGCCTCTTCATAGGTACACGGCTTACGACGCTTAACCCCTATGCTCCGAGTGACAGTGGGAGTATGGTGTATGCTTCAGCGATGGAGTCACACCCTGTTGTTGACACGAACCTCAATGACACACCCGAGGAGGCGGTAACCCCCCCCGCTCGCGGTCGCTCGGAGACAGTTCGAGAGGCTTCACACTCCGGCAACCTGGCCAATGGCATGCGTGCCCACAATGACGAAGGTTCTATCCAGCAAGCGACGAGTAGTCCCAGTCGGAGCTGTGGCCTCAACTCGGTACAGATGGAATCCGCGGGTACGCCCTCCGCACAGGGAGGAGAAGCAGGAGATGCGTTGTTTAGTGATGGCATCCCGAACTCGCACACGGGAACCGCTATGGTGAGCTCTCGTAAAAATTCCCGAGATGAAAGCCACGTTGACCGGTTGAGTCAGGGACGTGGCGGAGACGCTATATTGGAAGAAATGGCGCATCTCAGAGGCGAGGTTCTGAAGCTCAGAGAGGAGCTTCAAGCGGTCAAGACCCTTCTGGACGTTCGATCGCCCGCTGGAGGCAGTGTGGAGCACGGCGCAGATAGCGACAGAGGCGCTGGACGCCCGGTCGAGCCCGCGTCTACCCATACCGATCCGACGATTCCAGTAGAGACCCCAGGAGCTCCGAAAGTCGAAGTTCGACGCCAAGGCCAAGTGGTCACCGTCGTATTCCACTGAAGCATCGCTCTATTGGTATAGTCTTGTTGTTGGTTGTGACGAAGCCTCCGTACTGATTTTCTTCTTGTAGATCCAAGCACGCTCATCCGCACATCTTCCAAAATATATGTTCCATACCAAGTCCCCCTAGGTCCCCTTTTCGCCCAGTCTGTCGTCCGAGCGTCCGATGTATTTCATAGCCTTTTGGTCTTGTCTGCTTACCATATGCACCTGCTGTACACCTAATACTATCTATTCTATCGATGAATCTGACGCGACTCAGGGCGGGATGAACGAAACATACAGTGCAGCGCTCACTGCTTATATGTTTCGAAGTGGGTACAGCCGTAGCGGTCGGAGTAAGGCTAAAGGTAAGTATAGAGGCTTACTGGCCGAACGTGAAGGCAGTGCTCCATGAATGTGTATCTGAGCGCATCGAGAGCTTGTGGCAGCATCACGCTTTGGGGTGGGACTAGGTACGGCCTTCACGGGACTTCGAAGACACTACGAGTTCCTTAACGTACTTGCGCACCGTGTTTCTGTAATCAGTGAGTGACAGCTTCCCCAAAGCTCTTCAAATGAATATATACACTGTAGGCATCTGCAGAACGATCTCCCTGGTTGATCGTCTGATCAGCATGGAACCACTCACATTCATCGAGCGGACGCACGTACCCTGTCCCGGAAAGTGAAAGGCGGTTGAAGTGTACGCCTGAGATTGTGATGGCCGTCGGGGATTACGCAAGGTGTCATCCCAAGACGGGTGTAGGTGGGTTTCGTCAAAGCCAACGTACGAGTCACCGACTACCTCGCTCTTGTTCTGCAAGCACGAGATGAGCAAATAGTACTTCGAAGCCTCGCTTATGAGCCAATATCTTCAGCTCACATCGCGCATGCTCTTCAACCTCACTGGTCGGCCATGGATTGTGACGGGTAGCAAATTGTGGCACACCTCGAGCTAATTCACTGCCCGTCATAATTAACTCCGAGTCACGAAGTGTACATCCGGGTCCCGTGCGCACGGAAGCGCCAGCACTCGTGCGACTCCGCACAGAATATCCCTTGCATCCTGTGCGCGATCTCCAGCAGATGGCGTCGTTTTCTGTTAATTTGGGCTCGAACGCATCGCCTGCTGTGGGCCAATGGTGCTTACCCTCTTCGCGTTCCTGCTCGAACGCTTCGCGCGCTGCCTGCTGTTGCTGACACTATGCCTCGTCGTCCTGATTGTGCTCTCAACTCCATTCCTCGCGCTCGTGCACCCAGCCTGGCGGATCGGCTATGTGATCCTGTCGCTCCGGTTGGACTTGGGGCGCTTCCTGGTGTTTCTGCGGCGGGGACGTCGTTGTGCGGCAGAGCAGAAGACCGGCCCCGACAGAAATTCAAAGAGAGATGATCAGCATGGACACGTCGAACGCCCGAAGCAAGCTGGACTACAGACGGGAAGCTGCATAACTCACTATTGATTTATATCGCCGTACGAGTGTGGCGGAGTATACTGGTTGGGTAGCATCATGCAGGATATAACGAGAGGGTAGAGATAGCCTGGCACATTGCAGCTTCCACATTACTAGGAAGTTCGGGATTTGGCGGCATAGTCCTGGTGGGGGGGCATACGCTCAATAAGCATTCCGTTTGAAACGTCGGTTCCGTGTGCGCGCGACTCCATACCATGGGCATATATGGCTCTTATAGTGATGTACGTATTCCAGCCATTCCG